ACACGTTTGGTCAAAGGATTGGCTTCACTTATCTCTTTGACGAGTTGTTGTGTGGTACTAAGAATGGCGAGACTCAATTACGATGCCGATGAAACGTCTGCAAATGTACCACGTCTACGGTGCGATTTTGGAAATGATGATGCATACAATGCACTCCGGACGTGGTGCATTCCTCTAAGTCTTCCTACCAATGTGACCGAGTTGCGAAAACAAGGTCAAACAACTTCTATGGAATTTTGCTCTGGGCGGTACAGACGAAAGTTTAGGCCAGTTTCATCGGGGTCGCACACTTCAAACTCGTGTTGCAATCCTCCTTCGCTTTCCGATGCGACGACAGCATAAATTCCCTCCAACCAACTTTTCCGTCCAACCGAACCATCATGCCACTGAGGAAGTCTTCGAAACCCATTTCTGTCATAACCTCAACGAGAGCCGTGCAAGAAATATTGCATCAGTCTCTTTCACACCTTCGGTACCAGGACACAACAGGTCTGGCTTTCGCGCATGTTCTCGCAATTTGCTCACTCGTCTAGCCTCGAATGAGTTGCCCACTTGCCGCCAGAACAAGCCTCTCGGTACCACAGGCGCACAATCACGTTCGTGTGAATGTGTATGTACCAAAGTATGTGTATATATATATATACGCCTGTTTGTATGTAGATACAGATGTGTGTGTGTGTGTGTGTATTTATAAGCATGCCGACAGCGTGTGTGAACGCTTCTATGTCTCAAGTAGGACCGTTCGCACCAGACTCCTCAAGAGACGGGCATAATTGTGGACGACATGTGTCGTCTCATCCCTTCGCAGACCGACCGACCGACCTGCCTGCCTGCTTGCCCGTCCCATTCAGCTTTTTGCCTATTTTGCTTCCTTTCGCCTCGGCCGATTGGCCGATTGCCCGATTGGCCACATGCTCACACACCCTGTCGGTCATCTGCGCCTCCCGCAAAACACACCCAGGCCTACCCTCCCTGCACATGGTCGGTCAACTGTATCCTCCCCGGCCGACTGTCCACTCGACCAGTCTCTGAGCCAGACTCTATCCCATGTCCCAGGTAGGGCTGGGAGCGGGCTGGTTGACATCAATTAGGCGGCGATAAGTCACAACGTTGGCCATAATCATTCTGATCTCACTAGCACTACTTGCAGTGGCAGTAGCAGCAGTAGTATGAGCCTCATCACGACCAGCATCTGAGTTGGG